CCTCGGTTCCTGAATCACTGCTCCAGTACCTGTTTTGGAGGTTATTTGAGCGAGAAAGAAAAGTCCATTTGCTATAGCAGCTAACATTACCCTCACTATGATACAAAATCATCACCTATCTCAACCACACAGAAAACTACCTCTGCCTTGTCTGGGAGTGGAGAGAGGGGAGGGATATATTTTAAACCTCTCAATCCTGACAGTTTTTCTAAGTGGGAACATAATGCTGAATTTTGTGTGTGTGTGAGGAAGATTAGCGCTGAGCTAACTTCCGTTGCCAATCCTCTTCTTTTTGCTGAGGAAGATTGGCCCTGAGCTAACATCTGTGCCCATCTTCCTCTACTTTATATGGGACGCCGCCACAGCATGGCTTCACAAGCAGCGCATCGGTGCACGCCCGGGATCCGAACCCCAGGCCACCGCAGTGGAGCTCACGCACTTAACTGCTATGCCACCTGGCCGGCCCCAATAATGCTGAATTTTAAAGGAAAAGTCCCCAAGCTCCATTTGGACAAAGTGCCCTGGCCCCTGAGAGATGAGCACCTGCCGTTGCTCCAGCTCACTCCAGTAGGGAAGCCTTTCCAGCCCTGAGAAGCAGGAGCCAGCAAGACCCCAGGGGACCCGAGGAACAGTGGAGTCAAGCAGCATCAGAGATAGTTGGAGGTCAAGTTACCTTGAGATATTCTAGTTGGGTCTTTCCTTCCCCTTTTATAGATAAGGAGACACAGGCTCAAAAATTAAAGTGATTCTTCACATAAATTTGGTGACAGAGCTAAGATTAGAAGTCGGATCCCCTACTATTATTTGTGGCAGAAGAAAATAGATAGGCACACACACTATTGCTTTGCAGGCAAGTAAGCTTTTCTTTGATGTCTCATGGTTTTTCTTAAAATTTTTTATTCTACATCATAATATATCCTCCATGATTTTATGTAAAAGGAAGTTTTAAATAACTTGTCATAAAATAAAGAGGACTCTCCAGGAAGATGCATCATGTTTATCTGCCCCTGGGCACACTGCCACTTACCCCCAGCCATGCACAGATCACAGTTTGAAAGACACAGTTGCTCACAGATCAAAATTATCTCAGTGCTGGCGCCTGGTTATGGGCCTCTTCCTCTCCTGATGCCTTCAGTTACAGTCTGCGGTCTACCACCCCATATCCAGCCTCAATCCTAGTGAATCGGGTAGAGCTGTCGGACTCCTGTTCACCCTTTCAGGCTCAGGCACGGCATCATCTCCTCCGGTAAGCCTCCTGTGACCCTTCTGACCCAGTTGTTCCCCTACCAGGCCCACCACACACTAGACCCTGGGCATATTAATTCTAGCACTTCCGCCACACGGCAATGCAGTCTCTGTGCACATTTGCCTCCTCCAGAAAGAATGACACACCAAAAGTACTCAATAATGATGGCTGAGCGAGTGAATGTAAGGTGGTGGCTGCAGGCTCCCCGGGCCCACTTCTCCCCACGCTCCCTAGCCCACTCCCATCATGCCTGGAGGGACGTGAAGTTCAGCAAGGGCTCACTTACTGGCTGGGGGAGGGACTCCGGAGGTACCGGGCCTGCACAGCCCGCACGTCGGCTTCATCCTCTTCACTCGGGACTACCTGCTCCTCCTCTGGGTCCCCACCTGTCGCCATGACAGCCTGTCAGCCTCTGTAAGTAGGGCATGAAAAAGGCGATTAGGGAATTTGGTTCTGGAGCTTTTGTGGGGGGACGGGGTATGTCAGTGATGTCACCTCAGTGGAACCAGGAATGGGAAGGTTATCAGATGCTAATACCCTGGTGGGGAAAGGACCCACGGTGAAAACCTAGTCAGACTTGGCCCAGCCACTGTTACCAGGACACCAAGACACACACCCTAGCCATGTAACCGGCCCACTGTGGAGTCACAATATTTAAGAAGAGACAGCTTGGCTCCTTCCACAGATGCCAGCAAGGAAGCAATGAGGGGAACCAGAAGTTTGCCTTAACTATAGCTAAAGCAGTTGAAAAATAGTGAATTCCCCAGACCAGAAAGATCTTTCTGTTGAAACTCCTGGGCATGCGCACTCTCACACACACACACACACACACACACACACACACACACACACGAGCGCGCACACACAGCCCACCTGCACGCGTGCATAACCTTTTGTCTCTACTGGGGGAGGTGCAGCTGGCCTTCTTCAGTGTCTCTAACCAAGGCCACGGGAGTCGTCGCCTTTGGCTCTGGCACCATCCCACAGCCTATTAAGGAACATGAAATCCCCCGGAGCTGGTCCCAGACATGGCTGGGCCCTGACACTCAGGGCAGAGCTGCTGCCCCTCTGCTTGTGAGTCCTGGGCTCACAGGACAAAATGAAGGAGGAGCACACTCACCGTGGCTGATCTGCCTGTATCTCCACACCACGGGGCAGTCACCCAAGGGCTGAGGGGCCCAGATGGAATGGCCAGCACCTCCGACCAGTGAGAGGGCCCAACCTCTCTCCTGTCTTCAGTGCTTCTTCTCTGAGGGGCAGGACAGCTGTTAACAGGAAACCTTAGCTACCTTCTAAATTTAGCCTCTGGCCCCACAGCCTGGCAGATCTCTGGGAGGAAGGAATGCAGGCTCAGGACCCAGACCCAAGAGCAGGCCCCACTTAACGCTTTCCCTCCTGGCTGATTCTCCGGCCACCGACACTTGAGCAGCAGAGCCAGGAGAAGTTCACGCTTTGGAGAAGGAGAGGCCTAAAGAGAAGGTTTTCTTCAGGCTCTTTCTCCATACCCTCCTGCTTGGGGCTGCCTATTCAAAGTCCTTCCAGAAGATGGTCTAAAGCCAAGGATCTAGAAGAATGAAACAAACTGTACCTCAGCCCCAAGTCAGCTTAGAGGGGGCTGGAAAAAAATACCTGATATTTAGTTGGGGAGGGACCTCTGGTAGATGTTGGGAGAGCACCGTGGTGCGACTAACCTTGTGACCAGGGTTACGTTTCTTTTAAAAGAGAGGACTCTGGATGGTAAACTGGGCAGTTGTGCTCCCCTCTACAATCCCTTCCCCACACTCACACCCCATGGTGATGGTCAATTGGCAATTCTGGGTGATATAAAAATTCCGTGGGCTTCATAAACTTCAAATGAGCTCATAACCCACCCTACTCCACTTCACCACCTCCCACCATCGCTATGATCAAAGCAAAGCCCAATAACCAATAGTTCACCCCCTCGACCCACACATTCTATAATGACCCCTTCATCCATCCATCCATCCATCCATCCATCCATCCATCCATCCATCCATTCACAAATACCTACTGACTACCTACATGTGTGAGGCACTATACTTGACCAAAGGTAGTAACACACATAATTACATGCTTAAAATGGTCTTTCTTCTTGACTAGGTGGAACAATGTCTAGCACATGGTATCGTTAAAAATTGGCTGAATAAATGAATGAGCTCACAGTTTATTAGGAGGAATGAGACACAGATCAAAAATAACTCAAGCATAAGGCAGAGTGTAGTTAGTATCCTGAGAGAGATCCAGAGTGCTGTGTGAGTTCAGAGGGGGGAGAGAGCCCTCACTGGCTTTAAAGGACCAGTTGGATTATAAAAGCAGATGAGGTGGAGGGGAGAAATTTCAGAGGGGACAGCATAGACGAGGTTTCAGGGTAGCAGATTAGTTTCATATAGTGGTTAGAGCTGTGAAGAAAGCAAACAGGTTGTGTGGCAGAGACTTGTCAGGGTTGGGGTCTCCTTTGGAGAGAGTGGTCAAGGAAGGCAGCTTTGAGGGGGCACATGGCACCACCATTGACCAGTCACCAAACCACCACCCTGGGGGGTCAAAATAGGGTCTCAATAAGTGATTGCTGAGGGATGACCACAACTGAGAAACCATGGGGGTTCAATTCACATCTACAGACTTGAAGGTTCCATGAAGTTGAAAGGTGGTATGAAAGAGAAGAGAGGTGGGGTGGGGGGAGTGGAACAGCAAGGGGCAGGGAAGGACTGAAGGCAGCATCAGTCAGGGCAAGGCTCAAGATGATGGGTCCCCAGCATAGGGAAGGAGAGGGTGGAGGGGAGGTGCAGAGGGAAAGATGGAGAGCCACACACCTAAGACGGGTAACAGATAAGGAGGGGATCACTTAGGAAGAGAGAGGACAGAGGGCTCTGTCTTCTCTATCCCCTCAGTCACCTACAGATGGTCACATCTGGGCCACCACACTGGTGGACTAGAAATTAGAAAACCACTTATTAGCTGTGTGACCTTGGAGAACTCATTTAACTTCTCTGAGACTCAGATCCCTGTTTGTAAAATAGAGAATCATAACACTCATGTCCCAGTCTGTTCCGACCATCCAGCCTAAAGTGGGGCCCCTTCCCCCGCCCCCATTTCATTCCCCAGGTTGTGTCTCTCAGAGCACTACCGCTCTGTAGTAGGGTGACCAACCATCCCAGTTTGCCTGGGACTGAGAGGTTCCGGAGACATGGGACTTGGTTTTAAAACTGGGACGAGCAAACTTGGACAAGCTGGTTGCCATATTTCTGAGACTGTCTTCTTCGTTTACTTGTGTAGTGTCTAGCTCCCTGACCGGATTCCCAACTCTGAGGGTAGAGACTTCCTGTCTTCTTCATGACTGTGTCTCTAGCGTGGGGTGGGGTGGGGTTGTAGATGAGGGAGGGAATCATATGTGCCTTGCAGGTTTCAGCAATTGTGGGCAATATCCTTCTTTTATTGGCTTTGGAAGTCTTCCCCTGAGATCATTTCCCTTTTTATTACGAGTCGGCATTTCCTGTCCGTTAGAGGAGAAGCCCACACCTTAATGAGAAGACCGGGACTTTGTACACCTGCTAAGCGGAGAGAAGGCGGAGGGGTGACTGCTTCAAGGAGAAGGTGAAGAAGGTTCCGGTTGGGGCCTTTGGTGGAGTAGGTGGAGCACGAGTCCAGTCCCATAGGTGAGCTTACCTGCCAGTCCAGCTGAGGGGCGGGGTGTGGGGGCCAGGCAGAGGTGGACAGGAAGAGGGAAACCAGAGGGACGGAAGGCTAGGCCGGGCCAGAGGCTGTCGTAGCTTCAACCAGTCAGCCCAGATCTGTCTGGGGCCCACCGGAGCCAGGCGGGGCCTGGGGCTAAGAGGAAGCAAGACCGTGGTGGGGAAGATGCGGCCTGTGCTGTGGACGCTTTGTGCAGGTGAGTAGGCCCCTCCCCTGGCCAACAACCCAAGGGGGGCCAAAAAGGGGGAGTGAGCGCTGAGGGTCTCCCAGAGCCCCCCAGTGAGGGTCTCCAGCAACACACTGTGTTCTTGTTGGGCAGAATGACACGTTCTGTCATTCAGGCAGCAAGTTCCAGGCCAGCATCCAGAATCAGAATGGCTTCTATTTGCACATTAGTAAATAAAATTCCAGCCCATTTCTGGAAAGAAGAATTCCTAAATTCTCAAGACCATATTTTCTGATCCCAATTCAGATGGTAGGATCAGACACAGGATCCGACAATAGGGAGGAAGTATTTGAAATTGAGGTTGTCTCGGAAAATCCAGGATGTATGAATCTAGATATGTTCACTACTTAGGATTTTAACAATTGCCTTAAAACCAGAGAAAGAGGCAATGTGTTAACATCCATCACGTGTAGGGAAACTGAGGCAGAGAGACAATGCAACTTATCCAATATCATTCCCAGAGCAAGAGAAGACTCAAACCTTTCAAAAACAACTAGAAAGGCCCTTTCCAAAGGCCAAAACCCTGCAGCCCTTCCGATACTCTGGTCATTGAAAACTTGGAAGATGGGGAAACCCCACAAAATAGCAATCAGACATTTGTGGATATAATGGTTGAATCCAAATCAAGCGCTAAATAGCAAAGCCGTTGTGTGGGGACCCAGGAGTGTCCAGGGGTAGGATGGACGTCTTGGCATTAGGGCCCTGGGCACAGGCAAGAAGAGGATGGAGAAGGGAAGCTGAGGGATGGGGCTTGTGGGAATTTTAGGAGTACGTTTAGTTCAGTGTATTTGGTCACGCTGAGAAATCCCATCAGCTTGCAATTTAGAAACTGTTGCCGGCTTCAGGGATCTGGCAGGAATGGGGAGGAGGCGAGGAGTTGTACCAGGAACTTTGGGAGCCCCACGGCCTGGGAAGCACGCCGAGGAGGCTCTGATTTAGAGCTCACTTGTCAGCTTGTACCGGCAAGCCCAGGACGAGCCAAGCTGCAGTACAGGGTTGTTCCCCCAGGTCCCCAGGCTCCTCCATCTCTCACCGCCTGGCCTTGGGCCCCCGGGTGGAGGGCAGCTGTGCTGGGGAAGGGCTGGGTCATGGCTTGGAGGTAGACCTGGAAAAGATGTATTAGCTCAGGCTGGCTCAAGCCCTGCCAGGAGGTCCATCTGGCCGGGGCCCAGGAGCCCTGGTCATCAGGTGAGAGGGCCTGGCTGGTTCATTCCTTCAGGCAAACAGCTCTTCACTGAGCACACAGTTTGTGCAGGTGCTGCAGGAGTGGGGGTCCGGAATGATCACAGTCATGAGGGAACCTGTCTCAGCCATCAGATCCAGACAGGAAGGATGCTTCAAGCCCCGGGGAGGGAGGCTGAAAGGAAATGACCGTCCTCCCCAGGCTGGGCCAGTGACACTCTGATCCACTTCTCCGAGCCAGAAGGCACGCCCCCCCCACGCCCCGCCTCCTCCTCTCCCACGCCCAGTCCACATCCCTGCCTGTGTAGTCCGGCTGCAACGCGTGCATGAATGAAAATAAGGGATTTTGGCTTAGGAAAAAAAAATCCAAAACAAAATGCTCACCCAACTTAGAATGAAAAGTGGCCTTGGGGCCGGCCCCGTGGCTTAGTGGTTAAGTGCGCGCGCTCTGCTGCTGGCGGCCCGGGTTCGGAACCCCGGGCACGCACCGACGCACCGCTTCTCCGGCCATGCTGAGGCGGCGTCCCACATACAGCAACTAGAAGGATGTGCAACTACACATACAGCTATCTACCGGGGCTTTGGGAGAAAAAGGGAAAAAAAGGAGGAAGATTGGCAATAGATGTTAGCTCAGGGCCGGTCTTCCTCAGCAAAAAGAGGAGGATTGGCACGGATGTTGGCTCAGGGCTGATCTTCCTCACACAAAAATAAATAAATACATAAATAAATAAATAAATAAAATGCATAAAAAAAAAGAAAAGTGGCCTTAACTCTAAATTGCCTGGAGCGGTACATTTTGCCTCTTCCTGTGAGGAGGCATGTGACCCCTGGGTGAACTCATCCAGTGGAACCAGTTCTGGGGCATGTGTTCAGACACTGAGAAAATGTGTCTTCTGCCCCCACACCTTTCCCTTGACCCTCCCAGCCTGCCCAGCCCAGCACCATGTGCCCACCACCCTTGCCTCCATACCTTACACTAAGGGGAAGGGGCTGGAGCAGTGGGGCTGGGCTACGCCAGGCTCGGTGGCCAGCTTGGGGCATATGGACAGTTTGCTAAGTGGAAACATTTGGGGAAAAAAATAGCCATTGCCATGTGCAGGTGAGCAAGAGGGCCTTCTAAGGTCAAACCTAAAAGCAACTTGGTGGCCCTCCCCACCATGCCTCATAAGAGGACACCGGAGGAAGGAGCAGGGGAATTTGGGATGGCTTCCCGGAGGAGGTGGAGCTTATGTTGGGGTCCAGAGGACCTGCTGGCCTTTGTGCTTCTTTCTTTCTCCATCTGAACTTGCACAGTAATAACAGATTTTGCTGATGTTTCGGGCAGAGCAACACTGAGCTGATAAGAATAGGCCCCAGGACTCATCAGACTTTGGGGAGGCAGAAGATATCACATGAGGTCACATGGAGGAGATGCAAACAGAAGGCAGTCAGTGCATTAGAGAATTTAAAAACAATACTAAAACTGACTAAAATTTAGCCTGACCATTCTAAACAACATCAGTGACAGACAACTCTCCCTTCCGGGGCAGGTGCTCCCACCCCTCCTCTCGTGGCACTGCACTGCCGTCACAGGCGCCTGAGGGGCCGCCCTCTCCCTTACATGGCTTTAGCGTAGGACAAGTTAGTTCACCTCAATAAACCTCAATTTCCTAATCTGTGAAATGGATAGGGAAATCTATAATGCCTAAAAATGCACATTGTACCTCTCATAGGGTTACTATGGATATTAAATGTGTTTGTAAATGTAAAGATCTTGGAACAGCGCCTGGCACATACGAAGTGTTCAATAAATTCCAGCTATTACTGTTGTTGTTATTATTAGTGTGGGCAAGTGTAAGGTACAGGAAATTAACTAGACTTGGGTAATCAATCGCCTGAAAGCCCTGATCTGGCCGACATGTGCCAAGAACGAGAGTCAGAGTCACTGTGGATGAGCCCTAAGTCACCACCCTCCCAAGGGCTGCTAGAGAAAATGCTCCAGCTTGGGCACAAAACCAAGGCTCTTCCATTCCAGGAATTTTTTCAGCCACCAGACTCCATGAAAGACTTGATGTGATGGAAGGTGCAGATGCAGGAAAAAAGATGCATAAAGAGGAACCCACCAGGGGAAAAAGTCCCTAAGCAGCTCTGCCCAGAGTCACTAAAATCTTTGAAGCCTTGATAAAAACCACAAACAAAAAAAGCCCCACCTTCCTAGAACTAGCGGATACCTCCTTGAAGCTTAAATTAGAAAAACTCAGGAAAGGACTGCTTTACATAGAGAACTAAAGGAATCCATCATCCCCAACTACACCAGATGAGAACATACATTTTTTTCTCCCCCATCTAAAAAAACTGCAACAAACCCATGGATGCTTCATCCATGTGGGTTTTTGGTGGGAACTAAATTTCCAAGTCCCTGACCTTTCGAGGCTGATGATGGCATTTGAGAATCCTTCCCTCGGGGTCTTTGTTAGAGCCGCAATCCCCTGCAGGATAATTTTCCCTGAATGCCTCACTTGCCCACCCTGAGGGGCCATGTTCCTGTTGGTCACACAGGCTCAGGGAACTCCCTGGGGGCTGCCCTGTCAGACTGTGGCATATCTGAGCCCAACGTCACTTGCATGTCTAAGCTCCATACAGCGACCTGGCCCAGGCTGTGAGGTCTACGGGGCTCAGCGTCAGATGTGCACATCTGATGAGAATCAGATAAGAGAGTGACCTTGTGCCCAGTTAATCTTGACCCTGAGAGGGTAGTATTCAGGCCAGAGCCACAGAGGTGTCAGCCTGCAAGTGCCCTGCAAGATGGACAGCCTGTCTTTCATCTGCTCTGTGGTACTGAGCCCTGGTGCCACTCCAATCCCTATGGCCCGGCTCCTACCTGGGGCCTGGGCACCACCTGCTGGTGCCTGAGCACAAGTCAGAAGTTGGTACTCCGAACTCGCAGGGAGGGCTCCTGTGCCTGGGAAATTACACTGTCTGCCTGTCAGAGATACAATCAACATTAAAATGCCCCAGTCCCAGCCCCATCCTCAAAGGGGAAGGACACAACGCTTGGTCAGCCTAAGAGGGGGAAGTGTGCAAAGGCAGAGGAGTAGTGGTTTAGGGCAGTGGCTGTCAGCCCTGGCTGCTCATCAGAATCACCTGGAGAGTAAAAGTACAGACGCCTGGGTGCCCCCAGACCTTCTGAATCAGAATCCTGAGGGACAGAAGCTGGGCATCTCTCTGATTTTGAAAAAGTTTCCCAGGTGATTCTGATGTGCAGTCTAAGTTTAGAGTCAACATACTGGAAGTTGAGGAAAAGCAGGTTTAATGAACAGTTGCCTCTGTTACTGGGGCTGATACTCTGCACATGACTTGAAGCCTAGCTGCTTCCCTGAGTTGCTGTCCAGCCTCTGATTCAGTGCGTCAACTCCAGGGGGACAATTACATGCAATCTCATAGTTTCATGTGCATACAGGTCACCTGGGGAATCTTATTGAAATGCAGGATAAGACCTGAGATTCTGCATTTCTAAAAACTCCCAAGTGATGATGATACTGGTCCAGGGACCACATTTCAAGAAATAAGGCTCCAGAGAACTTGTTCACGGGCACGGGTGTGATCCTCATCTTGCCTTTGCCCCTCAGAGTCCCATCCCAGAGCTTCTTGGTAACTCAGCCACACTGTGATGTTGATCACCAGGAGGCCTGGGGGAAAGGCCTGTCTCATCATGTGCTTGTACTCCTGACAGTGCATGACTCTGCTAATCCCTCCCTCCCTCCTTCCTGAGACACTGTTCTGCCCGTTCCTGTGATACACCCTCTCCT